TCGTCGTCCTCCTCCTGTGCCTCCTCCTCCTCCCCCTCCTCCTCCTCCTCCCCATCTCCTCCTCGTTCTCCTCTTCCTTCTCCTCCTCCTCCTCCTCTCCCTCCTCCTCCCCCCCCCCCTCCTCCTCCTCCTCCTCCTCCTCCCCCCCCCCCCATCCTCCTGCCCCTCCTGTTCCTCCTCCGTCTTCCCCTCTACGCCCCCCCCCCCCTCGCCCTCGCTCGCCTCCCACGCAACTTTTTCTTCGCGTTGCAGCGCGTTCTGGTCCGGGCCTGCTTCGACGCAGAACTCGCGGCGCAGCTTCCACGAACCCTCGCGGCAGCAATGCCGACGATGCTCCGCCTCGCCTCCTGGTGCGCCGCCAAGGCGCAGCGCCCGTTCCTCAACAAGCCCAGCGCCGACGTGACGGCGGCGGCGGCTAACTGGGGCGTCGTGCGCGACGGGGCGAGCGGTGTCGCGCCCCGCCTCAACCCTGAGGACCTCTCGCGGGACCTCCGGAACTGCCTCCGCATCTGAATCCGCCAGCGGTTCCATTGGGCGGGCGACAAGCAAGAGTTCGACGCCCAGGTGGTCCGCGAGATCGGCGGCGACGCGCGGAGCATGGCCGCGGGCGCTCCTGCGGCGTGGACGGCGAGGCCCGAGCAAACAGGAACAATAACATACGCACGCACCAAACGACAAACAAAACAGTTACGTAAACCACAGCAACATAAACCACGAGGCTCTTGCAGCTCGCCATCCAGACCCCACGGTCGGTTTTTTCTCTGCGTCTGGCACCAAGATGGCCTACTGCCACATCGGGGACGTATCCATCCAGGCATGGCGCAAGTCGGCTCTGACGGGAAGCTACGCGCGGCTATTTATCACCAGGGGCCACCACGTCCGCATCGCCGCGGCTTCAGGCGAGGCGATCGGTCCGAAGCAGGTCGCGTTTTTGCCTGGCGTGGCCAGGGTTGGCGTTGATCTGGAGCGCGCCGTGGCGCAGGCCGACTACGGCGCCGTCAATTTGAACCCGAGAGACATCATCATCTGTTGCTCCGACGGCATCGTTGATAACGTGCTTTGCGAGAGCTTCAAGGTCATACTCACAGGCACCGATGATGACGTTCACGCCGCGGCCGACCAGATGGTCAAATGCGCGCAGCTGCACGGCGCGCCCGAGCCCGACGACATCTCGATCGTGATCGGCGTCGTCGGGCGCGCGTGAGGCCTCGGATTTTCTCGACGAGCGCATTTGGACCACCGCAGACACAAAAGGGACCCACGAACTAGATTGAGCAACCGTAGTTGATATATATATATATATATATATATATGTATGTATATATATATATATATATATGTATATATATAGGTGTATATATATATAACATCCTGGCCGCCTTCCGTGTTTGCGTGGTCGCGAGACCTTGGGCTCCTTCGGCAAAACCGCCATTGTTGCAACCGACGCGCGCGCGTCGGCCGCCAGAGACCAATATGAGAGCCACGGGCTTCATCGAGCAGCCGTAGTTGATAATAACAAAAAAACTTCTAAGCCCTCAGCAGGCGTCGTGGCGATCGACTCGGATTCGGACTGAGGCGGCCGCCGCCGCCGTGGGCCAGGCGCTGCGCAGGAGTCTAACAGCTAGCAGCGGGTGCTAGGCGAATTTGCTCGGGGAGGCATGCAACCATTTGGGGTGCATCCAGATCGCTGCGGGGGTAGAGAAAGGGCACGCGTCTGACTTCGCATGGCTGTTGCGCACGCTGCAATGATGAACGTAGCATGCGCGGGGCACCCTTGCGTCCTTGCCTCTGCGGCTCGCCGTTAGCCAGCAATAACATCGGAAGCCGCTAAGCGGGCGTCCATGGGAATTGCGTCATTGCCGCGCTGTTAGCACCACCAACACGCGGCTTGCTGTTGCGTGCGCTTGCACAGCAGCCACGCGCACGCAGAAAACCTGAACGGTCGCGTAACGCTGCTATTTTCTAGGATTCCTAAGGCAACCGAAGGAAGGTGGCCACCAAACACTGCTAGTATCTACGATTTCTAAGATTTCCGCAACCATCCCAAGGCCCTTCGGAGCAGCCGCGCGCACACAGCAACCCAGAATGGTGGCCTAACGCTGCTATTTTCTAGGATTCCTAAGGCAACCGAAGGAAGATGGCCACCAAACATTGCTATTATCTACGATTTCTAAGATTTCTAAGATTTCCGCAACCATCCCAAGGCCCTGCGGAGCAGCCACGCGCACACAGCAACCCAGAATGGTCGCCAAACACTGCTATGTTCTAAGGTTCCGAAGGCAACCGAAGGAAGGTGGCCACCAAACACTGTTTTTTTTCCAAGATTTCCAAGATTTCCCATACTTTCGCAGGCCAGGTCGGTTGCCTTAGGAATCTTAGAAAATAGCAGCGTTTGGTGGGCATCTACTGGCCACCAACACAAACATCGCAAAGCTTCCCTAGAGGAACTTAGTCTTCAGACCCAATTAAAATATAGATCTCGGGGGGGGGTGCGACCACATATAGATATATATGTATATATATGTTATATATATATATAATAGTATCGGCCGGGGAGCCCACACCCCAGCGCACCCACCCCCCAAACGAATTCCGCCTCATCGGGTTTGTCCTGCGCCTTGTTGTGGTCATCTTGGGGTCGTCTTGATGCCCCCCGAGTCAAGCGATAGCGTACAAGCGAAAAGGCCGAAAACATTGTTTTTGTATTGCGTTTTTTCTACTTTTCCCACTCTCCGGGGCCCTGTTGCGCCAGCCTTGGCTCATTGGGGATCGTTTGGGGCCTCATCTGGAGCCGTCTTGGAGGCATCTGGACGCCTCAAGAGCCACTCGGAAGCGACAAGGCGAGAAAGCCAAATAACTTTGTTTCCCCATGATTTCCCCACATATGTCCATATCTGGATAGGTAACTATAATTATACTTTATACATATACATAATATAGTCTATACTATATATGTATGTATGTTTATACACATATATATATACATGTGTGCGACTGTGTATACTTTTACAAATATATGTGTGTATATATATATATGTATATATGTCGGCGGTGCCCGGTGCGGAGCGACATCCCCCCGGTAATCTCTCCTGGGGGGGTTCGAGCTGGCGCTATTCCCGGTGCGAGCCTGCACGAACCCCCCCGGTAAACACGACCTCCTCTGGTAGGCTGCACGAAGCCCCCCGGTAAGGACGCAACCCCTCCGTAAGCGGCGCGCTCCCGGCACGCGCGAACCCCAGCCCCGACGCGCGAATCTTAATTACCAGGACGGGCCGGAACACGGCGGCGGCATTGCATCCCAGGGCCGTGCCGGAACACAGCGGCATTGCTCTTCTCTACGCGGCCGTGCCGTTGACCCCCCGCAGCGGCTCTTGGGAGTTGCGCCGCAGCCTCTCGTATTGTGGCCACGAGCCCAGCAATGCGAACAACAGGAATGCCAGTTCCTCCTCCTGCTCGTCCACCTCCTCCTCCTCCTCCTCCTCCTCCTCCTCCTCCTCCTCCTCCTCCTCCTCCTCCTCCTCCTCTCCTTCTCTTCTCCTCCTCCTCCACCTCCGTTCTTCCCCCCCAACCCACCCCCCACTCCCACCCCCCCACTCCCACAGGGGGGGGGGAGCCCAGGTAGACGCAGTGCGGCCTGCACGAAACCTCCCGGTAAAGCGACAGGGGAGGACCCAAAGCTTGCACGACCCCCCCCCGGTAAAGCGGCAAGGGGGGGGGTGTTCTAAGCCGCTGGCGGCACCCGGTGCGGGCTGCACGAAACCCCCCAGTGGTGCACGAAAGCCCCCGGTAGTGCTGGGGGGGGGGCTCGTGCCACGGCGCACCGCCAACATATATATATATATATATATATATATATATGGATATGGTCCTGCTTTTATGTTTATAGGGCCGGGGACGGCGGAGAAAGCGCACCCCCCCCCGCCTAACGAATTTGGTCCTCCACGAGCCTCCGGGCAACCCTTCAGACGACCCGGGAGAACCTCACAAGAGCCCGAAGCTGGCCTCAAACGGGTTCCAGGCGTTCCGGCGCGCTCCCGAAACGAACCCAGAGAGCCCCAATACGGTCCACGAGGACCCCCAAGAAGCCGTCATACCCCCAAAGATCGTTCCAAAACGTTCCAAGAGGCCTCCAAGAGCACTCCCAAGAAGGCCCCAAGAGGCAAAAATCATTGATTTCCATTTTTGGGTGAACTTTTGGGTTCTCATTTTTTCAGCTTCCCGACGCTCCAAGAGAGCGGTCTTCTGGGCGTCCGAAGCCGCCTTCGATGCTCCAAAGTCGCCCCGCAATTATCCGCAAGGGCTTCCAGGCAGTACAAGAGAGCCCCAGAACGGCACAAGAGGGCTCCAAGATGGCCCTACGAGAGCCCCATGGCGGCCCAAGAGGGCCCCGAGACGCCCTCCGAAGCATTCCAAATCGCGACCCGGTCATTCATGAAGACCGCGGTTGGAGGCAGGGTGGCCCGAGGAAGCCCCCAGAGGCCCGGAGAACACGCCCAGGAGGCCTCCAGAAGGCCTTAAGAAAGCTCGAAAAACTTTTGCGAGGCCCCCAGAGGCTCTCCAGGGAGGAGCCCCCGCAACAAGAGCTGGGGAGGATGGGGAGAATGCGCAGGGCATGGCGAGAATGAAGAAAGAGAAGCGTGGAGGAAGGATAACGAATAAGATGATGGTAACGGCGATGCTGGAAAAGGCAGCAAGGAGTTATTGTTAAATTGTCGGCTTGACCTTCCTGCCGCCCCACCTGCATACCAAACTTCAAGGACCAAGGTGCATGGCACGAAGTGCCACTGCAGTCTTGTATGTGAATATACATTTATGTGCATGTATGTATATATACATATATATATATATATATATATATATCACCACTTGTGCTTGCGAGTATGTCTGTCATCGCTACCACTATAAACAGCCGTAAGTTCGTTATCCAGTTCTTGGAACCTGCTCATGGGGTTGGCCGGGTCGCTCCACGACACAGTATGTGGTTCGGGTCGGTGGCGGAGGGATTTCGACCAGATCGGCAAGGAATTGTACCTGGACAAGATGGCCGACATATGCCTTCGCTGGGAGGATCCATGCTGAGCCACCTCGATCGGAGGCGAAGATAGCGTCGAACATCCCAGGAGCGGGCATTACATCGAAGACATTAAGACATGGATCATCGGCGCCCCTGGATCCACGTATTGTTTCCCCCTGGGCTATTCGCCCCCATCGCCGCCTCCAAGTTCAGGGTGAGCTTCTTCTCTTCCTTCAGCATAACCGTCCTCGTCCTCGTCTTTGCTTCCCCCTGGGCTACTTCGGACAGGGCTGGGACGAGGATAAAATCGATAAAATCAGTTCCAGAGCGTTCCGGAACGCACCCAGAGCGTTCAGCAACGCTCTGAAAAGGCCGCTGCGCCCGAGACATCTTCCGGAGCCGCCGGATCTAAGAGATTCTCGATTCATCCACACCCGATTTTATCATCGTCCTGTTTTCGTCTTACTATTCGCCCCCATCGCCGCCTCCAAGCTCAGGGTGAGTTGCGCCTCTTCCGTCTTCAGCATCGCCGTCCTCGTTCTTTGGTTGCCGCGCTGCTCCGCTTAGGACTCTGCTGCTGCTCGTTACCATATGCTCATGCTCGTCCTGATCCCCCTCCTCCGCCTGCTCATCATTCGCCTCATCCTCCTCTCCCTCCTCCTCCTCGTCCTCGTCCTCCTCCTCCTCTTCCTCCTCCTCCTCCTCGTCCTCTTCCTCCTCTTCCTCCTCCTCCTCCTCTTTTCGGGCTGTGCAGTGTTTCGAAGGCAGGTGCCAGGCCCTAAGCAGGAGGTCGGTCGCCCTGAGATCGCTTTTCGTTTAGTCGGGCGACTTCGAGGCTTCGAGGAGTTTCTTCCATGGTGGAGTGTCTCCTCTTCCTCCTCCTCCTCCTCCTCCTCCTCCTCCTCCTCCTCCTCCTCCTCCTCCTCCTCCTCCCGCTCAATACCCCGAAGCCTTGGAGTTGGGAGCGCCGCGCGATACAGATAGCGATGATGATGGTGATTACGGCGCGGCCTGAGCACCTGTGCCAGGTGGGCGCATCAGATCTCGCAGCTTTCGAAGCTTGCAGGTTCACGGTCGCCGCTTCGGCGTCGTCTCCGCCGAGTGCCCTCGTGGTTCCAGCACGGCGTTCTTCTCCCGCGTCGCGGGTTTGAACAGCCCGCTGGGCTGCGGGTGTTGCTGCACGGGGCGGCGTCCTGACCTGGCGCGTTTTTTTTATGCCAAACCTCGAGCAGCTGTATTTCCAACCACGGGTGGGCGGAGCACGGCGGGGCGGCCTCGCGGCGAGGCGAGGCCGGATGAGCCCCCGCATTCCCAGCTCCAGGCGGGCAGCGCGCGGCGCCTTCTTCGTGGGCGCGGGCCTGGTGCTTCCGTTCTGAAGTGGGCGGAGCGCGGCGAGCCCGTGCACGTCGAGCGCTCCTGTTTCCAGCGTGGGGTAGGCAGCGCCCGGCGCCTCCGGGACGAACGAGGGCCCGCGATCTCCGTCCGCTGTGTTTCCAGATGCGGGTGGGCCTCACACGGCGATGGCGGCCCGTGCCCAGCTCCCTCATGTCCAACCACGGGTGGGCTGCACACGGCGTCTGGGCTGACTCGTGAGCCCACCTTTTCTTTCTCAGCGCGGTGCGCAGTTGACGCTTGATCCTCGTCGCCGAGGCCGGCCTGTTTGTGCTTCCCCCGCGGCGTGTCGCTGCGCCCCAGCGGCACGCTGGCGACCTTCCCGGCGGCGGTGTGCAGAGGCTTCCTGCAGGCCCCGTGCGGCCGGGGCGGCCGCTTCCCACGGAGGAGGAGGAGGAGGAATGAGGAGGAATGAGGAGGAGGAGGTATGAGGAGGAGGAGGAGGAGGGGAGGAGGAGGAATATGATGAATGGAGGAATTGAGGAGGAGGAGGAGGAGGCGGAGGAGGAGGAGGAGGAGGGGTTAGGAGGAGGAGGAGGAGGAGGAGGAGGAGGAGGAGGAGGAGGAGGAGGAGATGAGGAGGAGGAGGAGGAGGAGGAGGAGGAGGAGGAGGAGGAGGAGGAGGAGGAGGAGGAGGCCAGGACGGCTCCCTTTAGGCTTGGACCCTGTAGAGCGGACGGCTGCGGGCCCCGGCCTCCAAGGTCCAGAGGCCCTGGGGGGGGGGGGGCCGTGGGTTTGTGAGTTCCTCCGCCCGTCGGGCGACTCACCCTGCTGCTTCCCGGCTTCTGTTCGCTCGCGTGCGAGTATCAATTCGAGCCGAGGTCTGTCCTGATCGACCTCGTCTTCGGCGGCGCCCTCTGCTTCAATTGGGGCGTTGCCGGTATGCTACGCTCCCGGTGGCTTGTCCTTCTTCGTGGCCGGCGCCAGAAGTGCGAGAATGTCTGGGGGAAGCGCAGACCCAGCGGCAGGCCCTTTTCTCTGCGCAGCGAAGGAACGGCACCAGCAAGGGCGCCGCGACAGCCGTAACCAGCAAGGGCACCGCCACGCACGCGCGTAACAGGTAGCCGGCCTGTCTCGGAGGAACACATCAGCGAGGCGCGGCTTCGGCGCCCCAGCGCGCACGGCTGGAAAGCCGACTGTTCTGGATGGTTCTACATATTGTTTGTTGCAGTGCGCAATGGGTTGTGCCCAAATCGGCGGGCCTTCTCAGAAGGCTCAGAAGCCCCCCGACCTTTGAGAAGTTTTCTGAACTTCCCCCGAAGACGCAGAGAAGTTTGAAGAAGGCCAGGGCGCTTCTGGGAACCCCCGCCGCCTTCTGAGGAGGCCTGTTCCTTCTCACTTCCCCTCCTCGCTCGTCGCCGGCAAAAGCTTGGCGTCACCCTGACTCTGGATCCGCCGTGCCTTGTGTGCGATGCCGCAAGCGGGCCAGGACTTTCCGCCCAGCCCGTCAAGTTCTTTGTATGCCGATCTCCGCCCTGCTGTGCCGTCGCCGTTTCCGCCCCGTCCTGGCAGAGGCATGCGCCCCGTGTGGCGGAAGGTTCCGCCCTGTCCTGTTCGCAGCGTTTGGGGTGCTCTTCCGACAAGAGTGCAGCTGATCCAGAGTCAGGGTTGGCCCAGATAGAACAGGTCGCGTGCGCGGGGGGGAGGAGAGAGCTGGTAGCGGGGGCCAGGGCTCCCGTATCCACTGTGGTTCCAGGTTGTTGCGCGCGCATCTGCGCGAAGCTTATTTGTGCACCGTATCATTGCGCATCCTACGGTCGGAGCGAGGCGCAGGAACATGCTCAGCTGGGGGAGGGTACCGAATGTTATTCGTTTGTCTTGCATTTCTTCGGGGAGCCTGGGGAAGGATACCCTCTTCTACGTTCTGGCAGGGCTGGGGTTCCAGGCCATGCCTGTCAGTGAATGCAGTTCATGTCGGGTGACTCCTCGGAAGGGAACTTCGGTGACCTTATGTATTTGGGTTCCTTTGCCGAGGTTTCATGTTCAGTAGTATGTTATTTTGTCCATGTTCCTATTGCATCGTCTCCTTTCGTTCACTCCCGCTTCGCATCCTCCGACTTTGCCGCAGCTCTGGCCCCCAGGGTTTATTCGGTAGCAAATCATGGGAGCCTGGTAGACCTTCTCAATTCCGTCTTTAGCGTCGATTAGCGTTTGGGAGTCGATGAGATGGCGCCGATTTAGCGTCGATCAGCGTCGATATAGTGTCGATTAGTGTCGATTCAACTTCGATTAGCGTCGATTCGCAAGAGCCGACAAGATGGTATGGGAGGCTCCCATGAGTTGCCACCGAACGATTTTGCCGCAGCTCTGGCCACCAGGAATCGGCCAACATGCTGTTTAAGCAATCTCGTGGATCGTTTTCGTTTTCTATGCGTTTTCGTTCTGGGGGCCGCAACAGGCCGATCACGGCTTAGGCTTTGCGCCAGAGCGCTCTTTTGGGCCATCGGTCGGGTTGCTCTCGCTTTCAGGCGCCGCGTAACGACAACGGCACGACAGCGCAAGGCACGACTCTGGTCGACCTCTGCTGGCCACGCGCCAAGAGAGCCACCCCGAGACCCCCCCCTCTTCGGTTTCCAATCATGGGAGCCTTATGCGCCCTCGTAACTCCGTCCTTAGAGTGCACTAGCGTCGATCAGCGTCTGGCAACCGATGATCCAGCGCCGATGCAGCGTCGATCCGCGCCGGTTCAGCGTCGACTGGCGTCGGCAGGCGTCGATTGGCGTCGACTCGCACGAGCTTACGAGGTGGTACGGGAGGCTCCCGCGAGTGGCCACCGAGCCCCCCCCCTCCCCCCCCCCCTCCCCGGAGAGCGGCGCACGCGGCCCGCACCCGCGTGCGCCCGCAACGAGCGCGCGGCTCACCGCTGCCTGGCCCAGCGCCTCCTTTTGACGGCCGGGCAGCGCCACGGGGAGGCAGGCCGCAGCCGGCCCGACGAGCCTCCCAGAGATGCTCCAAGGGGCCCCCAAGAGGCGCCCAAGAAAGAGATGCCCAGGGAGGTCTCCTCCTCCTCCTCCTCCTCCTCCTCCTCCTCCTCCTCCTCCTCCTCCTCCTCCCCAGCGATGCCCGAAGAGGCGAAACCACATAGAACAGTGTGGGGACACACGTGTGTTTGGCTCTCGAGGCTTTTCTGGCTTCCTCGAGCGGATGACGTCGATGAGGAGGTCGGATTTCGGGCCCCCCCCTGAATCCTGACCCGCCGTACTTTGGGCGAGTTCGCAAGTGGAACGAGAATTTCCGCCCTCTTTTTCATGCTCCTTTGGATGCGGATTTCGGCCCTGCTTTGCCGTCGCTGTTTCCGCCCTGCGTTGGCGGAAACGCCCGCCCTGTTTTTTCGAAGCGGCTTTGCATCGTTCGCGGTGCACTTCCAACACCACCGCAAGTCGGAACATCAGACAGAGCATGGCGCAGATCCCCAGTCGGACCCCCCCCCCCCGCTGGCGGAGGAGCAGTTCTGGTCGGCGCAGGAGCTGGGCATCAGGCCGACCAGGGGGTTCCAGGCGCCAGCGGGGCCCCTCCTCACTCGTCGCCCGACCAGCGCGGCAGCAGTCCGCGGACGTCCGGGCCCCCCCGAAGCGGCGACTCGGACACAGGGCAGGAGAGGGGCGCGGCCGAGCGCGCCGCGGCCGCGGGGCGAAGCATGCTCCATGTTTCGCCCTCGGCAGGTGAGCAGAACGCAGAGACGCGGGGTCGTCGTCGATGGCATTGGCGCGCAAGGTCGCGCGCGTCAGCGCCCTCGTTTCCGACGTGGCGTGCCGCGCTGGTGGCCCGCGTAAGCTCGCGCGCAAGGTCGCTACATGTGCCATCGCGCGTGAGACCCGGGCTTCTGTTGGTCGCTCGGGTGGAATGCACAAATCGGTGACTACAAAGGGTGTGCTTACGGCAGGGTGTAGGTTTGGGATCGGCACCGTTGGGGCCTGGGTGGCGCGACACTGTCCTCGTCGGGCCTCCTCGGGGCGCGGCGGGGAACTCTGTCGAGGTCCCCGCCCGCCCCCCAGGGTGCCCCCCCAGGGTGCCGGTTGCAAGCCACACCCCTTGCAATCCAGACCTTTTGGAGTCGCCGAATCAAGTTTCGGTTAGCAATGTCTTTGTTTGGAGGACTTTGTGGATGACCGGCGGGCGGCAAAAGGCCAGGAGGAGCAGCGGGCTTGACGGGTGAAGTGATGGCAGCGATCGTGACGGCGATTGTGGTGACGATGCCGATGGCGACGATGGCCGAGGGGTCCTCAGGGAAACGGATCCTGAGGTTCTTCCCCCTTTTTTGTTTCCCTGGGTCTTCCATGGGCCCCAGGACTGCCAGAAAAAACGATTCACGGTGAGCAGCTGGTCTTGGGAGAAGGCCCCAGAGTCCAGGACCCGACCCGTTTCCCTCTGGACCCGTCGGACCCGTTTCTTTCACGCTAACGACCTGTCCGTGAGGCTCGTGTAGCAGTCATGGGTCTCGTGCAGTCGTTGCTGCCTCCCCGCTCCCTCCCCGCACTCGCCTCTCTCTCTCTCTCTCGCTCTCCCTCCTGCTCCTGCTGCGAGCGGCGCGCGGCGCGTGCCGCTGCACGCCGTGCTTCGCCGCTGGTGGATGCCGGCGCGCGTCCGACGCGCGAGGCGTGCGCACTCTTCAGGAGGAAGGGGACGAAGAAGACACGGACGCAGCAGCACTGCGGTCTCCATGGACATGTGGGAACAGAAAGGGCCCAGCGGAGGTACGTCATACGCGGACCACCTCGGGACCTCACCGCCACCTGGGGGGCTTGCGATCTGCGCAACCGTCGCCACTTTCGTGGGCTCCTGGGAGGCCCAGCGGAGGTACGTCATACGCGGACCACCTCGGGACCTCGCCGCCTCCTGCTTATTCTCGCGACCGCGACCTTTTGATTCCACTTTTGGGTGCTTCTCTTTTGGTTCGCTGCTGCGCCCTTCTGTCTCCACTTCTGGATGAGTCTCCACCCCCGTTATGCACCTCATGCATTTGCCCCGCTCAGCGCAGCGCGTTGCTGAATTAAACCGATGTTCTGTTTTAGCCCTCGCCGCCGCGCCCTTTTGTGTTCACTTTTTGGGCGTGTTTCTTTCAACGCCCCTGTGTTTTCATTTTATATAATTGCCGTTCATCTTCTTGCTACGCTCTTCTGAAATCACTGCTGGGTGCTCTTCTTGCGCACTGCGGGTCCTTCAGAATGCCAGTCAGCATTGAGTGGTCCTGAGTATAATCGCCACATGTATAGAAAGGGTTGGGTACGTCACAGGGTGATTAACAACCAATGTGCGCGGCGCTAAGGCGAGAGCCACATTTTGAAAACCACCCGCCCTCAATGAAACTCTTGCAATGTTAAAAAATGCGCGGGGCTAAGGCGAGAGCCTCACTTTGAAAACCACACGCCCTCAATCCGTGAAGCTCTTGCAATGTTTAACAAGCAGATATGCGCGGCGTTTTGGCGAGAGCCACATTTTGAAAACGACCTGCCCTCAATCCGTACAGCTCTTGCAAATTGTCCAAACGAATGTGCGCGGCGGCGTGTGCGCGTGGCGCTTTGCGGCGAGAGCCCACGGTTTTGACAACGGCCCCCGCCATTCCCATCTGGAAGCTGTTGCCCATTTTTTTTTTTTTTTTTTGTTTTTTTTTTTTTCGCTTCCGTATTCATAAGTGGTGAGGGGAAATTCTTCTCAGGCGAAGAGAAGAAGCGCCCCCCCGGGGCCAGCCGCCACGTTGTGGACGGAGTACCCGCGGACCCGCCCCCCGTCCGCGCAGCCCTAACAACTAGCCCTCGGGGGATCGGGGTGCGGCAGTAGAACAAATATGCATCACAATAGAAAAAGGAATGAGGGGGAGGAGGGAGGAGGAGAAGGAGGAGGGGGGGAGGGAGTAGGAGGGAGGAGAGGGGAGGAGGAGGAGGGGGAGGAGGTAGGAGGAGGAGGCAGGAGGAGGGGAGGGGAGGGAGGAGGAGGCCGAGGGAGGGGGAGGAACGAGGGGGAATGTGGAGGGGCCAGTCAGGGGGGGTTGGGCGAAGGAAGAGAGAAAGGAGGGTGGGCAGGGGGGGTAGGGAGGAGTAGTAGGAGGAGATGGGAGTGAGGGAGTAGGAGGAGGAGGAGGAGGAGGAGCAAAATAGGCAGTAGGAGGAGGAGGAGGATGAGCAGGAGGAGGAGGAGAGGAGGAGGAGGAGCGAGGAGGAGAGGAGTGCGGGGGAGGGGAGGCGGAGCCAGGAGGCTGTCTGACCCCACCCGCGAGGAGCGCACCGGGAGCACAGGCGCGCGGCGCGGCGCGGTCTTCTGGGCTCGAGCCGCCAGCTCCGCGCAAGCCGCCGCCCAGGGCAAGCTGCTGCCCCGGCCGTCGGAGGGGAAACTCGGAGCCTCGGTTCCTCCTCCTCCTCCTCCTCCTCCTCCTCCTCCTGCTTCTCCTTCTCCTCCTCCTCCTTCTCCTCCTCCTCCTCCTCCGTACATTTCCCCCGGAGGTTCTCGTGCATTCCAGGTCTCCTGGATGGGGTTGGAGTTCGGGCGACACAAATCTGTACATATCCGCTGCAACCTGGCCAGGCCAATCCTGAGCCCAGGAGCTGTGTTTACGTTCTCCTGGCCTGGCCAGGAGGGCGTGGGGTATACACCGCCTAGGCTCGGGCCCAAGGGAAGGGGGTCAATGCAGACGGGTGTCAGTCAGAGCGGCGGATCTTGCAGGATCTTGCAGGGCCAGGGGCGCACTGACCCGGGTTTGGGTGCAGGATCCTGCAGTAGGGCCTGATTGGCCCAGGTCTGGATTGACCCAGTTCAGTAGATCCCCGATCGGCCTCTTGAAAGGGGTCGGAGTGGATCGTGCCGCATCGCCGAGGCATCGGCGATGCATCGGCGATGCGGCTCCATGTGGGGCTCAATTTCTCCACGCCGACGTCGCCGATGCATCGCCGATGCGTCGCCGACGTCGCCAGTGCACGGCCGATGCATCGCCGATGCATCGCCGATGTACGTCTCGGCGATGCGGCGAGATCCTCGGACCCCATCTATTCGGACCCCATCTAGGAGGCCTCTGTGAACACGATGGGCTTTTTTGGGTCGCTCTTGTGGCCCTTACTTACGATCAGGAACTTTGGCTCGGCTCGAGGTTCGAGATTGTTTGGGAAGTTTTCGTTGGTTCTCGGCGGTCTCCCAGCCTCGGGATGCCTTCCAGCAGCTGCGCCTCGCCGAGAGCGTCCCAGGGGTGCCTGGATCGTCCCGATCGCCCCCCTGAGAGCCGAGTTATGACCTGGAAGCCACGCAGGCAGCGTCAGCGGGGGATGCGGTCGGGAGCTTCGTCTCAGCGTGTCGCTCCGCTGGCTCTGGCACGCCGCCGCCCGCCCCCCCCGTGGAGCGGGGCGGCACGCCGCTCGTTTTGCAGTGCAGTACAGCGTGCCGCCGAGGCCGCCGCCGCGACACGCGACGCAGAAGTTCCGGACCGCAGGCCGAAGAAGAAGAAGCCAGGGGTCGACCTAAACGGCGTTTTGGCGATCTCGTGGGCCGTTTTCGGTTTCGATGCCGCTGTGCAAGGGCGGATCGAAGACGAAACGAGGGAAAACGAGCACAAAACGAAGAACGGAAAACACCGCCTAGGTCGATCCCCAGCAAAATCGGGCGGTTCGCAATGGGGGGTGACCTCATTGAGGGGGTGAAGAGAAGGGGCCTTTTATGGCCCCTTTTGGCCCCTACTGGCTCCTGGAGGGGCCCGAAAGGGCCCCTCCAGGGCTCTTTCCTCTTTCCCTCCCACCCCATGTGGGTCACCCCCCACTACCACCTGCCCGAAAAGAGCGGCACAAGCATAGACTTCCGACGGTCCGCGCGGGTTTCGTGGGATTTGCGTTGTGGCCCACCTGGGCGCCGACATCCTGCGTCGCTCTCTCCTTGGTGCACTCCGCGCGCCGGGGAGGGGCGTCCGGCGAAGGTCCGAGGGAGCCGCGCGGACCGTCGGGAGTCTCTTCTTTCTCCTCCTCCTCCTCCTCCTCCTCCTCCTCCTCCTCCTCGTCCTCGTCCTCGTCCTCGTCCTCGTCCTCCTCCCCCTCCTCCTCCTCCTCCCTCCTCCTCTCCTCCTCCTTCCTCCGCCTCCTCCTCTCCGTCCTCCTCCTCCTCCTCCCCCCCCTGCCCCCAAATGGGATCTTTTTCTTGTTCATTGTTTTGCCGATCGGCGCGGGCCATCGCCCCCTCTCCCTCCCACCCCCATGGAGTAGATCTTGGCTGTTTTTGGCGCCTGCTGCGAGCAGGTAAAGTCTCTCCCCCATACATAGGACGCACTGTTGCAGACAGTCGCATGGAGCAGAGGTCTGGAGCCAGGCCCCCCCCTCCCCCCTTTTCCCGCCCAAGGTCGAAACGCCGAATCAGAAAACGTCACTTGTGCGTCTTGTTCCAGGGCTCGACCTGAGCGGTGTTTGGGCGATCTCGTGGACCGTTTTTTCGTTTTGACCTCTCGCTCTGCAGCAGAAGGGCTGGGCGGAGACGACGCGATGGGGAGAGCGTCTTGCTCTCCAGGGCTCGACCCGAGCGGCGTCCGGGC